AAGTGAATTTTACAAAGATATTTGACGTTACTGTAGACATTTGCAGTCTGAATGACATGTCCAAAAATCATTACAAATACTTTATCTATGAAAAATATTTTTGGGAAAGAAAAATACTGAAAATATGCAGTTTTTCTCTTATAACCGGAAGTTGTCGTTTATGTTTCCGGTGGGACTGATATATTTCAAAACTACAAATAAGATGCTAGAATATGAGGCCAAAAAAGTTTCATAAAAGAAAAGTTGAAATTTTCCATTTCTTTGATCACTTCCTGTGACGACCGGAAGTGACGACGGACGATCTTAACCCGATTGGTTTTGTCTACTTATCAAGATCTATTACTCATATAAGTTTGGTGTCTTCATCTCTTACCGTTTCTGAGATATGACTCGGACAAAACTTTTTTCGAAAAAACCGGAAATCGGACATATCTGACGACCGGAAGTGAATTTTGAAAAACTGAAAACTGCATTTGAAAGATATTTTGACTGTCTATCATCTCTGAAAATTTCACCTGAATCCGTCCAGTCATCTCTGAGAAATCGTCAAAAACAAAAGGGGAAAAAAAAAATAATAATAATAACTAGATACGATCTCGTTGCGAGCAACGAGAGGTCTTCCGTCCGATTCAGAAAAAAAACCTCGTAAAATTAAGCTGAAAAGTGATTCAAAATTTTGGTCACAAGGAGGATTGAACTCGGGTCGCCAACGTGAATGCACTTTTTTTTCTCTTTTATTGCTAACGCGCATACCATTATGCTATAATTTGGAGCACTGCTCTAAATATACTTTTGTATACTTTTGCAACAGTACATTTGTCTAAGAATTATAAAAGGCGGACCACTATTCATAATTTCGCGCTAAACGCCACGAGTAAATATTCGTGCCTTTTCTTTGGACTGATCTATGAAATAGGTGTGATAGCTTCAATGAAATTAAATAAATAAAACGTTCTTATAGCCTTTATTTTATTTCGACGTTAAGAAAGTATATTTAACACATTGTACACATTACATATCGTATTTGGCCCAGTTACACTAAAGCAGTGAAACGGAAATTAAGTTTCAAGATTGAAACTCAATTGCAACGTACTACTACGTGAAAGTCCAGGTAATTTTTCACATTTCATGTATCCTTATGTCAGAATGGTTCAATCAAACGCTCAGCTGCCTCCATAAACCCCTACTCGCGAAATGGCGGAGTAGACAGAGACAGCCGCCATCTTGGGCCCGCTTCAGATTTTCAAATATTAATATCTAGAGTTCAGATTAACCAATACTAAAACAACTTATATAGTAAGCATCAATGGAAAGGTCACTATTAATATTCCAAAAATAAATGAAAAATATTGAAGAACAAAAAAGTTAGAAAATGCACTTTTTTAAATTTGCATCTCCTAACGACAGGAAGTATTGACGACGAACGAAAGGTCGCGTCCTGGATAGTGAATATCACGATCTATAATCCCTGAAAGTTTCATGTTGATATCTTCTACCGTTCTTGAGATTAACCGTAGACAAAATGTCATTTTAAATTCAGAAAATGTCCCGTAACTTGGCACCAGAAGAGAATTTTCAAAAAATCTCTCGGAAAAAATAACTTCAGATAACAACACATAATTTCTGTAAATTTCATGAAAATCCACCCAGTAGTCTTCAAGAAATCGCGTGCACAAAATTCAGTGTACGGAAAAATAATAATAATAATAATAATAATAATAATAATAATAATAAGAAACAATAGAATCACTATAAGGTCTTCCGTGAAGACGGAAGACCTTAATAATAAAAAGAAACAGTAGAATCACTATAAGGTCTTCCGTCTGAAACGGAAGACCTTAATAATAATAAAAAGAAAAAACAGTAGAATCTCTATAAGGTCTTCCGTCTGAAACGAAGGACCTTAATAAGAAACAGAGTAAAAACTAGATACGATCTCGTTGCGAGCAACGAGAGGTCTTCCGTCCGTTTTAGGAAAAGAAACCCACGTAAAATCGAGCTGAAAAGAGATTCAAAATTTTGGTCACAAGGAGGATTGAGCCCATGTCGCCAACGTGAATGCGCTTTTTTTTTTTTTTACTTTTTTATCCTCAACGCGCTAACCATTAAGCTATTGGGAGTACTGCTCTTAACATACTTGTGTATACTTTTGCAACAGTTCACCTGTCTAAGAATTATAAAAAGCATTCATAGTTTCGCGCCAAACGCCACGAGTAAATATTCGCGCCTTTCCTTTGGACTGATCTATTAAATAGGTATCATAGCTTCAATTAAATTTTAAAAATAAAACATTCTTAGCGCCTTTATTTTATTTCGACGTTAAGAGAGTATATGTAACACATTATACACATTACATATTGTATCTAGCCCAGTTACACTAAAGCAGTGAAACGGAAATTAAGTTTTAAGATTGACACTCAATTGCAACTTACTACTGTAACGTGTCGGACCTTAGCGGTCAGTAGGTCCGTGCTCGGATTACCGAGTTTTACTGGGGATATGATTGAATGCAATATTTACAGATAATAATATGACACCTGCCTGGTGTCTTTAAATCAAATGACCTAAGTGCTTTGAACACTTATATATCTTCAGTTAATACCGTCACCTGCCTGGTGCCATATGACAATTGCCTCACCATACAACTGACTATGTAAGTCAACAGCCACCTGCCTGGTGCCTCTTGATTTAGCCTTTAACACCTGCCTGGTGTCTTACTGCTTACCAAGTTGCCTATATAACTCTAGCCAAGTAGCTACAATATACTTACACAGTATTTAACTTTGTGAGAGCTTCTCTGTCCTAATGACAAACCTATAGCTAACGTCACACAGCTATATTTTAACTAGTCACTGACTACGGCAACTTTGCACAAATCGATTTGATCGAAACACTAATTGGTTTCTGTACCAAAGTGAAGACACAAGACAATTGGCTGTACTGCCCCCTTGTACCTCAACTTAATCAATGATCATAAGTTATCAGATATCATATTGATAAAATACTACAGACTGCCTTTCTTTTGGCAACACTATTATTATTTTCTCACAGAACATCATTTATCAATATTACTTGTATAATTCTTTTGTCAATTGACCAATTAATTACAATATTTACATTGATTATCTATTATAATATAAACAAGTAACGGGAGGTAACTCCTCCAACCATTTCACTACTACGTGAAAGTCGAAGTAGTTTTTTTTACATTTCATGTATCCTTATGTCAGAATCGTTTAATCAAACGCTCAGCTGCCTCCATAAACCCCTACTCGCGAAATGGCGGAGTTGACAGAGAGAGCCGCCATCTTGGTCCCGCTTCAGATTTTCAAATGTTAATATCTAGAGTTCAGACATATCAATGTCCAAACAACTTATATAGTAAGCATCAATCAAAGAGTCTCTATTATCATTCCAAAAATTAATAAAAAATATTGAAAAACAAAAAAGTTAGAAAATGCGTGTTTTTCAATTCGCTTCTCCTAACGACAGGAAGTACCGACGACGAACGAAGAGTCGCGTCCTGGATGGTATATATCACGATCTATAATCCTTGAAAGTTTCATGTTGATATCTTTTACCGTTTTGGAGTTTAATCGCGGACAAAATGTCATTTTAATTTCAGGAAATTGTCCGTAACTTGGCACCGGAAGCGAATTCCCAAAAAATCTCCCGGATATATAAAATTCATGTTACGACACATCATTTCTGAAAATTTCACGTCATTTCATCCAGTAGTCTTCGAGAAATCGCGTGCACAAAATTAAAAAGTCAAAAAAATAATAAAAAGAATAATAATAATAATAATAAGAAACAGTAGAATCACTATAAGGTCTTCCGTGAAGACGGAAGACCTTAACAATATGTTCCCCAACTTCGTTTGGGGAACATAATAAGAGAGAGAGAGAGCATCGTGACTACAAAACTGCCACTCGTGATTATTCATCATCATTGGGCATTGGGTCATTTTCTTATGAACAACTAAATCTATATACTATGAAATCGGAAAACAAAAGTTAACATAATAATTTTATCCCCGTAAGTGCTGTCTAAAGTAGCTGCAGATCTGCAGCTATGTCTAAAGAAGATCGTTGGTAACAATCTGAGCATAATTAAATCCACTTTAATTTGCGTTTAGTTCAGTTTCAAAGAACTATTCAATTTATATTTTTTAAACTTTATAATCTGTATGAAATCCGTCAAAACATTGACCTTGACCTTGTCTACGACCTTGATATTACTATTTTTTTTATTTATGTTCGCTCGGTGCCAGTGAAACTGGTTAGGATTTATTGAATTAAGTTGCTGATACATATTGTTGAGAGCTATGAAGCAGCATCAAAATGTTTTGACCTTGACCTCTGCGATCTTGATATTATAACTATTCTTAAATTGTGATCGAGCGGTTTCAAAGAAACTATTCAATACACGTGTATTTCTTCTAATACGTCATTTGCCAATACATATTGGTGCATCAATTTTTAAGGTCTGCCCTTCTTCATGACCTTGACCTAAATTTTTAATTTTGTATTTAGTGCAGTTTAAATAAACTATTCAAGATAGTTTTATCTAAACACATACATTGATACATATACGTATTTGAGAGCTATTCATCTGTTTTGTAATGTATGATCTTATCTTTCATTATTTCGCATCAACTGAGTTCATTTTTTTTTATCTTGACCTCCCCAATGACGTTTGACTTTACCATTTATCTTGTTTTAGAAACACTCTTCAATATATTTTCATTGAACTTGATGCACTCATACGAATCGGTCAGAGTTATTCAACTGTGACACAAATTTCTGAACTTTCCCAGTGACCTTGACATCACTTTTCATCATGACCCTTATCTTAAGGTCCATTTTTTTAAAAGTTCCAATACTAATGAATCTTGTGCGGACCGAGTATTCTTATAGTTTTGCTACTATTCTTTTGAGGCTGCTTGTAACTCTCTCTACTTGCAAATGGGCCAAACTCGAGCTAATTCTTGTATTGAAAACAAATTATTGGAAGATAATAGAAAGAACAAAAAAATCATTTTTTACACATTGATCTAGAGTAATCAAAGCAAAACTATTTTTAAAATTTAATTTTCTAAACAGCTGATCCATGGAGTTCGACAGATGTCTCTTTAACCCGGAGGACGAGATAAGTCTTCCGGAATTCTACCAAAAGTACCGGCAGTGTTTACCAATGCTGGTGGTCGTTGTTGGAGGACACAATGGAACAACGGAGTTTGACGACACGCCCAGTGACACCGTAAGATAGTACTTGTAGTCCACTGAGAATCCCCCTGCATTAGTATCATTAAGCTCTTAAATGGTTAACCATGGTAATGGATGTAGGAAAAACTGCTTATAATAAGTTTATTTTCAAACATATTGGCCCACATGTACTTGTACGCGAGCACTGACAATGTGATTCGTGCAAAATGTAACAAAAACTCTTACATTAATTTTGTGTTTCAAGAGGTAAAATTAAAACAGGAACTAAGAAAATTAAAAAATGGAAATTGTATAATTATACATGCGCTAGTATTCAGCTGGAGTTTGGCAATAATCTGCTTTTGAACCCTTTTTATTAGCTCACCTGAGCCAAAGGCTCAAGTGAGCTTTTCTGATCACATTTTGTCTGTCGTCCGTCCGTCTGTCTGTCCGTCCGTCCGTCCGTCTGTCTGTCCGTCTGTCTGTCCGTCTGTAAACTTTTCACATTTTCGACTTCTTCTCCAGAACCACTGGGCCAATTTTGACCAAACTTGGTACAAAGCATCCTTGGGTGAAGGGGAATTTAAATTGTTAAAATGAAGGGACATATCCCCTCGCAAGGGGAGATAATCAAGGAAAGACAAAAATAGGGTGGGGTCATTAAAAAAATCTTCTTCTCAAGAACCACTGGGCCAGTAAAGCTGAAACTTATGTGGAAGCATCCTGGGGTAGTGTAGATTCTAAATTGTTCACATCATGACCCCCGGGGGAAGGGCGGGGTCACAATGGGGAATCAAAGTTTTATATAGAAATATATAGGAAAAATCTTTGAAAATCTTCTTCTCAAGAACCACTGGGCCAGAAAAGCTGAAACTTATGTGGAAGCATCCTGGTATAATGTAGATTCTAAATTGTTCAAATAATGACCCCCGGGGGAAGGGCGGGGCCACAATGGGGAATCAAAGTTTTATATAGAAATATATAGGAAAAATCTTTGAAAATTTTCTTCTCAAGAACCACTGGGCCAGAAAAGCTGAAACTTATGTGGAAGCATCCTGGTATAGTGTAAATTCTAAATTGTTCAAATCATGACCCCCAGGGGAAGGGCGGGGCCACAATAGGGTATCAAAGTTTTACATAGAAATATATAAGAAAAATCTTTGAAAATCTTCTTCTCAAGAACCACTGGGCCAGAAAAGCTGAAACTTATGTGGAAGCATCCTAGTATAATGTAGATTCTAAATTGTTCGAATAATGACCCCCGGGGGAAGGGCGGGGCCACAATGGGGAATTAGAGTTTTATATAGAAATATATAGGGAAAATCTTTGAAAATCTTCTTCTCAAGAACCACTGGGCCAGAAAAAGTGAAGCTTATGTGGAAGCATTCTGGGGTAGTGTAAATTCTAAATTGTAGGAATCATGACCCCCGGGGGAAGGGCGGGGCCATTATAGGGAATCAAAGTTTAACATAGAAATATATGGGAAAAATCTTTGAAAATCTTCTTCTCAGGAACCACTGGGCCAAAAAAGCTGAAACATATATATGTGCCCATGGAAGGATCATGGGGTAGTGTAGATTTCAAAATGTCTAAATTATGATCAGTGGGGTAGGGTGGGGATGCATTATGTATAACAAGGGGGAAATCTGGTAAAGAACAGAATGGTCAAAGCTTCTCAGGTGAGCGATGTGGCCCATGGGCCTCTTGTTTTTTTTTTTTTAATATAATTTAAAACGCATAAACCTTTACGTAGCTTTCATCCGACTTACACAAGGGGAAGCAATAATTAAATTTTTTGTTCCCTTAAGATATCAGTAGGAATAAAGTGGTCCGAAGTCCTGTGATTTCACACAATTCCACAGTCATTTTTATTTATTAAGGTTCACTGACCCTCTGATAAGAGAGATAACTCTCAATTTAATTAGATAAGAAAATTTAATTCAACTGACCATTTCTGACGAAGTTTTCTCCAAACTGCATATATGCTTTAATTATGTATAGGTTATACATGAAGATTTCTTTTTCAAATTCTGTGAGCATTTTAGCCAATTTTATATCATTTTAATGTATATTTCACTTTGACAGATAATACGATACAACAAATTCCAAAGTGTCAAAAGAGCCCTAGCGCAGGACCCCAAGACGAGGCGGAATTACATCAGCATTCCTGTCAACGCGAAATATAAATTCAACGTCATCAAATCAATTTCCACCAAGAATAAAGGTAATTAATTTCTCAATAGTAATTCATAAAGAAATGACCTTAACTTGTCATTCACTGGACTTGTATTAACCTTTCTTAATGAATGGGGGGGGGGGGGGTATTCACATCAAAAAAAGGGAGGGGTACACGACTATTCTTTTTTTAAATTAGGAATACTTATAGATACTAAGCAAATAACTGGCAGGGGTTTGAAATAAATCTTTTAATTCCATTACTTAGTAATGTTACATGTAATTCGTTTGGGATGGAATGGCTGGGGAGGGGGCTCCGTCTGTCAAAACCTAGAGATTGAAGCTACTGATCTTTTTTACCTCAGTCTAATACCGAGGTATCGTCCCTTCACTCTAGATTCTGTTTACTAATCACTACTTCCTTAGTAAGAAAACTCAATATACGTATTCTTAAAATATTTTTTTTTAATTTAAAATCATAAAAAGTTTATGACATTCCTTCCGTGAATAAGAAAAGCCTTGGGTGCTACCTTTGTTATTGACTTCCTGTTGAATTCTGATTACAGCTGACCACACACTGGCTGAGATCTTGGACACGTACCCGTTACCTGTACTTATACAGTTCTCCGAGTCTCAGGAGATTCCCTCCGAGGGCAGAAACAGGGAAGGGACGCCCTATCAGCTTCTTATTACGCACGTGTACGAGGAAGTTTTCATACAAGGGAATTTTATCACGGAAGGTAATGTCAAGACGGCTTGTTTTATTACTCTGTCATATAACAATAACAAGTCATTTTCTTTAAAAACCGGTGTGCCATATATATTTATACATGTACATCACAGAGACTAAAATATATGAAGATCTCTTCCAGTATACCATAGGTGAAGTGTGTTTTGAGGGCCGTTTGTACATGACAAAATTTAAAAAAGAGTAAGAGAATGTACTTCTGGGCATTAATGTCAGGGGTCCTATATCAACTAGTTGTCTCGGGACCCCTGACAAATTTCGTTCGCTTTTTTTGGGGGGGAGGGGGCTTGCTTCTCAGAAAATGTAAACAGCAAATTCACGCCTAAATTACACGTGTACCTCATTGTCTGAACGATAGTACAATTCTCAGTTAACCTTGAAGTTTCAGTAAGACTGGCATTCTCGGTGCTACGAAGTTAGCGTCGGTCAAATGGCGAATAGATTCTCACAGGTTAAGAAATTAAATAATATCAAGAACTTCAAATTGTTGACAACGATGAGACGACATGTATATTTCAACAGTGAATAAAAGCTGTGTAAATTTCAGACGCTAATTATGTGACGTCGAGAATACCACGCCTTACTGAAAGTCCAAGGTTAACTGAGAATTGTACTAAAAAAAGCTGCTGTCGGCCCCCAAAATATAAAGTGAAATTTGTCTGGGGTTCCATGGCAATTGACTGACAAAGGAACTCTGATGTTGTGATAATACTGACTGAATTAAATTAATTTTTTTGAAAATCGTTTTTTTCTATTATAGGCAAGATAACCAAACATCCGTCCAGTTTTAGCCTGTGTCCACTAATCTCAGTGGCCCCGATTCAAGGTTTTACTGACCGAACAAAGAAGGAGTACGATAAATACCTCAAGAAGCTAGAGGGTTACGTCAACAAAAACACTGTGTTTTCTGAAAGTCAATGCAATTTAGGTAACATCCTTTTAATATGCCCAACTTTTTACAATAAATCCCGAATACTCAGTGAAATTCTAGTATAGCACTTGACTTAAACATATTTATGTTGTTATAACTGTTTGCTTCTGTATCTTCTATTATTTAAGTGAAATGTTATTGTTGGGTACGTTTTTCTGTTCGTTTTTACAGCAATCAAGATTCTAAAACCCGATGCAGATGAACTTAAAGACGTTCTCCAAACTTACCAAAACGAGACTACTGTGAGCCACCCCCCTCCTTCAATTCCTGTCAGAGGGCAGTCGCTCAAGAAAGCAAGACAGGAAGGAGATGATGATGATGGGGAGGATTACGAGGTCATGGAACAGCCAATGGAAGAGGTCGACACATATCGGGTAGCGGCAGCGGCGGGAACGCCAAGTTACGTCAACGATAGGTTGTGTCAAGTGAAACCATTGGTTGCTGGACAGGATGATGCAGACGACGAGGAAGGGGACATGTATGAACCAATGGAAAACCCTGATGAAAATACAACTCCTTCAAAACCTGTTGTGATCAGTAAACCCGATGAGACCCCTCCTCCTCCTAGACCTGTGGAAAAGCCTAACGTACGGAGTAGATCCTTACCAAATACAGGTGCCCCGACTCCTAAAGACACTACGCCTCCTGCTCGTGAAAGGGGGCATTCAACGTCATGTGCGGACGAACCTGAACACTGTAAAAAGCCATTAGTAACAAACACCACAAACGCATTCGATATTGAAGAGAAAAGTATACAAGATATCGGAGAGGTTTTATGCCGTTTGCGTTTGAATAAATACGTTGAAAGGTTTGAGGAAGAAATGGTGGATGGTGAAATATTAGCGGGACTAAGTGTTGAAGATCTGCAGAAAGAGTTTAATTTTTCGAAACTGGAGGCTATGCGACTTTTCAAGTATATTGAAAAGGGACATATTCCTAAATGATTACTGATTACATATCATTACACAGCTATTTGAGAAGTGTGAATTGACAGAAGATGATATCATTACAGCTGGCCTGTAATTAGAAGGGTTTTTTCCAAGGATAGAAATGTTAGGAACAAAACTTTCTTCTTCTCTGTTTAATCTTGTTGGACAATACATTTTAACACATATTTTATGTTTCCTCATAAACCAGGTTTGACCCCACGCGAATTTGGTTCGGTTGGTCAGTGACGAAATTACTACTAATAGTATTGCCTCAAGATTGTTAAAAAAGTAACAGGAGTTAACACTATAACTGGGGAAAAAAGTTAATGGATTGACATTTGAAAAGAATCACTGCAACACCAAGATGAGAGGTGGATCCAGAAATTTTGGTGGGGTGTATCTGGGGACAGACAAGGATCTATAAGCAGTTGATCATAAATATCATTAAAATAAATCTATGTTCTCTTTCAATTGAAGCATTTTTTTCAATATTTATTTTTCTAACAATTCTTCTTTGCTCGTCTATCTTAGGAATGTTTTATGAAATTTGAAGAAATGAATTAAAATGTATTAAACAATACCAAAACAAAAGTCAGAAAAAACGGGCAAAATAGAGGTGTATTGCTCGTAGCCCCGTCCTCGCACTCCTATCCACCACATGATAACCCTGAATATGGACATGTATACACGTAAAATATTTATCTTAAGAAATCAAAATGTCATTTAGTTAAGGAAGGTTCCAGATATTTCCACATCCCCTCAATGTCCGATTAAAAAGATTATGGAAAAAGACACAAACCGATTACAAATTGTTTGGTAATAAACTATTAACAAATATATGTAGAATTTATTAATTTATTACAAGAAATTTGTAATTTGAAATAATTTGTAAATTCAAGATGAATGTTTATTTTCCTTCAAATTGATAGCTAGTAATTTCAAATTGATTATTCGTAATATTAGTAATACTAGTATTTCGTTTTAAAAAGGGGGTGAGTACTGGAGCGTAGAAAAGGGTAAAACGGGAACAATTATAATTGCTTTACCTTTAAAAATTTGTTCCTATACAAATCTATACAATAAAAAGTCTAACATTTCTAATGTTTTGCTGAGTGGGCATAAAAAAATCAATGTTTGACCGCTGAGTGAGATGTTGGACCGGTCGATGAGATGTTGGACCGCTTACGTCACAGAATGGGCGAAGCATAAACTCAATTTCATTCGTTGGCGTTCAACAGTGACGGACCTGATGTTACATCACGGACGACAGTATAAAAGACATGTGTATGTCAAAAATTAAAATAAAATGAAAGGTATAACAAAACATTTATTGACAGAGTTCTCGGGCAAAATGCATTTTGTAGACCCTCGAACAAGCTGTCTGCCTTCGGCTTCAAATGCGTTTTGTCGACCCTTCGGCTTCAAATGCGTTTTGTCGACCCTCGAAGCAAACTGTCTGCCTTCGGCTTCAGGCAGACAGTTTGGTTCTTGGGTCCGACAAACAAACAATGAAAAAATAGAAGATCTAAAAATGTTGTAAATATCTTGATTCAGGGAAATGTCAGAGATTTATAATCCTTTTTATTTCCTTTTCTGAAAATCCTTTCCATGATTTATTTGACCAGCTGATACATAAAACAGTTTGATAAGGTTCAGGGTCTAAGCATAACGATGCAAGATATGAAAATTGCGCAATTTTACCATATTATTTGGTTTTGTTTCACGTTCCTTCGAAAAATAAATTTTTCGTGCCAGCCATCTACTGCGACATGGGACATCTGTTTATATGGCATGTTTCGAAGGACGCGAGTACATGTTCCGTACTTGGATTTTGAGCCCCCCCCCCAATCTTTCATAAGACGTTTTGCCCACTGCACAAAAAAGCAGACAAGGATCAACAAAATAGTTTTTTGGTAATCGGCGACAATTTAGTAGCTTGCTTGTACATGCCAGTTCTAACTTCACTTTGTCATCCCCAATGTTTCAAACAATAAAGCGCTTTATATTCAGAGTAAACCTGAACAAACTTTTTCAATAAACCTTTCCTGTTCTTTTTATTATACATATGGTTGTTAGTACAAATTTAAAGGATGTCTTTTATACTTTAGTTAAATGAAACAATAGGCCCGTGGTCCACAACGCTTACTTGAGTAGCTTTGGCCATGCTGTTCTTCACCAGATTTCCCCTTTGTAACACCTACTGTGACTCTTGTAATATCTATTGTGACCCTACCCCAGGGATCATAATTTGGACAATTTTCGAAAATATACACTACCTATGGATGTTTTGACATATGTCAGCTTTTCTTGTCCAGTGGTTCTTGAGAAGAAGATTGTTAAAATTTTTATCCATATATTTCAAGGTAAAACCTGGATTCCCTATTGTGGCTCTTGTGGAACATTATTGGAACAATTTAGAATCTACACAACTCGGGATGCTTCCACTTAAGTTTCAGCTTTTCTGGCCCAGTGGTTCTTCAGAAGACTTTTCCTACACATTTCAATGTAAAACTTAGGTTTCCTTTTGTGGCCCCGCCCTACCCCTGGGGGGTGGGGGGTCATGAGTTTAACAATTTAGAATCTACATTAACCTAGGATGCTTCCACATAAGTTTCAGTTTTTCTGGCCCAGTGGTTCTTGAGAAGATTTTTTAATGACCCCACCCTATTTTTGTCTTTTCTTGTTTATCTCCCCTTGGAAGAGGACTTGGGGAGTTTAAACTCTACTTTCCCCAATAAATGCTTTGTAACAAATTTGGTTAAAATTGGCTCAGTAGTACTCAAGAAGAAGATGAAATTGTGAAAAGTTTAAAGATGGACGGAAGGACAATGGGTGATTAGGAAAGCTCAGTTGAGCTTTAGCTAAGGTGAGCTAAACTACTTGTTTGTGTCAACTAAAACTCTGAGTAATTGTCATCTATAGTCAAATTAATTCACAAACACATCTTATTAATTCATATTTTTAGTTTAATTTTGGCATTGAATTCTACAATTCAATAATAACATTTGTTAGAACAGATGCTGATATGAAGACTTTGTAACTACATTGATATACATGTATTTTAAAATACTATATGCAATTTGTACAACAAGTTATGGATATTTGAGAGATACATGTATGTTCAATAATACAAAATGAGAGATGACAACTGAATGATGAGTTATTTACATGTAAATGAAACATAAGAAAATCTGTCATAAATGAACTGATTATTCAGACCTTTTTTGTTTGTCATTTGCAATTGTTGATTAATGATCAATGACACCTAAAATTTTTATACATAAGAGTACATGAACAAATGGTGAAGATTTTCTCCATAAAAATGTTAAATACAAAATTATTTCACAGACATCAAACCTTAGCATTTAAATTTTTACAAAAGAGCATGTTGCTGTTTTTGTGTGTTTGTTTTTTTTGGATGACAATTACAAGAAGATGAAAAGGGTCATCTTGTATTATTTCTCTCATATGAAAGTCTTTTATCAAGTTAAGGTTTGTATTTATCTTCCCAAGTCCATCAACATTCACTCTTGGCAAGTGCTGAGGTAGTACATATTACGAACCTTTGCTGACCGTCAATTGTCAATGGAGACTGTCAATTTCACTGCCATTTAGGAACTTAAGTAACTTTCGTTAAAACATGATCTAGTCCATGTTGTCAGTTTCACGTGTCGTCTTCTACGAGCGTGGAGAAGATTTTGTGTGCCTCTCGTATTCCACTAATGTACGCTCCCGTAACAGACTGGGGAAACTGACGATTTGTAGCCTGCAATACACAACAATGTACCCTCAGTATATCATTAACACCAAAACGTAAGTTGATAAGATAAAAAAAATGTTGTTTTTTTTTTTAATTCTGTTTTCCAGAATGAGTGAAATTAAGTTTTAATTACTTGGAAAAAATGTAATTTTATCGCCGACTAATCCTTTAGACAATTATTTAGTCTGTGATTATACTAATGCTGTTATAAATACAATACATTAGCTGTTCTTTAGGAGATTTAAAGGGTAAAAAACACAACAGAGAACTAAGAATCATGTCTGTGACTTACCTCTCCAGCGAAGTAGATTTTGGACGCCACGTCCTGTGACATGATATCATAGGCATCCCCATCCACTCCTATGGGTATGTAACTATAGGACATCTTGGAGAACAGCTCTTTAGTCCATTTTGTAACAAAATAATCCAGTGGCTTTGGGACTGTCTGCAAACATAAAGTATTGAATGTTGAATTTTTTTTAAGACATATACAAGTACATTTAAAACATTTTAAAGTGAAATTTGTATCCCTGCATTTTATTTTGATAGAAAATCAATTAGATTTTGTGTAACTAACTGAAGAAACAAAGAAAACACATATTTTTGCTACATTCATTTCATTCCATTTATATTTACAAACATACCTCCTCTGGGAACATAAGTTTGAGGACCTCCATACAGGCAGCCACTATATCCCTGTCTAACCTTTCCCGTAGAATGAGGGCATTTCCTGTTAGATGGGTCACCAAAATATACATCTTCTCCACCTACAAGAAAACCAGGCTTAGATTAAAATGAGAAAACTGATTGATTTAGATTACTGGGAAATAATGCAATGTGTATTTAAACAAAACAATAACTAGAACTGTCCAAACGGGACAAAATACCCCCTGCTGGGTTTTTCAGAAGTGCTAAATCATGAATACTTTATGGATCTAAGAGAAGAGAGAAATGCTAAAACATTTTTACGCAAATGTAATTGCTCATTATATTTTTTATAAATGAAACGAAGGCACAGCCTAATAAAAAAATAGACTAAATCTATGGACCAGACACGAATTATACACTTTTTCCGTCAGTGACCTTGAACTTGCATAAATGACCTTGGTTCAAAGTCATGACACAACCTCAGGTCATAAAAATAAAGAAAGATATAGACCGGACACAAATTATAAAATTTTTCTTCCAGTGACCTTGAACTTCCCCAAATGACCTTGACCCAAGGTCATGACACATCCTTAGGTCATGAGCAATCTTTGT